CACTACCAAATCTCTGGAATGGGAGGAATGGTAGTACAAAATTCGAACACAATTTGCGAAATAACGCTAANCACGAATTCAAAAACTCCTTGGAATACCCACTAGAGAAACTCACTACCAAATCTCTGGAATGGGAGGAATGGTAGTACAAAATTCGAACAAAGTTTGCGAAATAACGCTATGTTCATCTGATTTGGGTCAGAAAATCACCACAAACGCCATCATCCTCCCTCAGCTCACCCACTTTCTGCCCACATTCAAAGTGTCAAATGTCAATATAGACGAATTACGCTCCCTCCAGCTTGCTGACCCTAACTGGTTTACACCAGCGAAAATCGATATGGTGATAGGCAGANCCCACATTCAAAGTGTCAAATGTCAATATAGACCAAGTACGCTCCCTCCAGCTTGCTGACCCTAACTGGTTTACACCAACGAAAATCGATATGGTGATAGGCAGCGATATAACTCCCCAAATACTCCTGGATGGGCTACAACACAATATCGACGGCACCTTAGTAGCCCAAAACACAATATTCGGTTGGATACTCAGTGGTCCAGTAAGAGAACATATCTCGACGTTCTCCACCCACGTCACAGAAGCAACAGAACCCGAACTCAGCACGCTGCTCAAAAGGTTTTGGAAGCAGGAGGAGATAGAAACCGCTCAACGAATTCTGTGAGGAACTCTACAGGACCACGACCGCCAGACGAGAGGATGGACGCTACGTGGTGAGACTCCCCTTCAAACCCGAATTCCCANCTCAGCACGCTGCTCAAAAGGTTTTGGGAGCAGGAGGAGATAGAAACCGCTCAACCCAAGTCAGCAGAAGACGAATTCTGTGAGGAACTCTACAGGACCACAACCGCCAGACGAGAGGATGGACGCTACGTTGTGAGACTCCCCTTTAAACCCGAATTCCCGGACGCCCTTGCCTTAGGCCACTCCCGCCCAGCAGCTCAGCAGCAATACATAAGCATAGAGAGGACTCNCGAGAGGATGGACGCTACGTTGTGAGACTCCCCTTTAAACCCGAATTCCCGGACGCCCTTGCCTTAGGCCACTCCCGCCCAGCAGCTCAGCAGCAATACATAAGCGTAGAGAGGACTTTGGAAAAAAAGCCGGAGCTGCGCGAAAAGTACTCAGAAGTACTGAACGAGTACTTGCAAATGAGGCACATGGAACACGCTTCCCCCCTTGAAACCATAAAAGACGGCAAATATTTTTCATTTTACTTACCCCATCACGCAGTCTTAAAGCCCGACAGTAAAACGACAGAAGTGCGTGTCGTCTTCAACGCATCTAAGACATCACAGTCAGGAAACTCCCTGAATGACGTTCTTTATACAGGCCCAGTACTCCAAAACGACTTAACGTCCATTATCCTCAAATTGCGTCTTTATGAATTCGTTTTCAATGGCGACATAGAGAAAATGTATCGTCAAATTCTCGTCCATAGAGAAGATCAAAATTTCCAGAGGATTCTTTTTAGGAAAGCCCCTCACCTGCCAATCGAAGACTTTAAGTTAAAAACCGTCACCTTCGGTGTTAACTGCGCCCCATATCTGGCAATTCGTACGCTCCACCAGCTAGCCCATGATTGTCAAGAAAAATACCCCCTCGCCAAAAACATTATACTACACGAAACATATGTAGATGATGTACTCTCTGGCGGACACAATATACAGTCCACTCTCAACTCGATGACCCAAACTATAGAAGCTCTAAAATCGGCAGGCTTTCCACTGAGAAAACTAACAGCTAATCACCCAAAGATACTTGAATTAATCCCAGATTCTCATGTCTTAGATACTGAATTTCTCAAATTCCAGGATACAAGCTCAACCAAAACGCTTGGAATAAGATGGAACGCACACTGACTCCTTTNTCTCAAATTCCAGGATACAAGCTCAACCAAAACGCTTGGAATAAGATGGAACGCACTGACTGACTCCTTCTCGTACTCTTACGACCCTTTACCCGCATCTAAGTCGAACACAAAACGACAAATACTGTCAGCCGTAGCGAGACTTTTCGACCCGGCAGGATGGCTATCGCCAATAATGATACTTGCCAAAATCCTCCTCCAACAATTGTGGTTGGAGGGAACGGACTGGGACGAGCACGTGAAGCCTACGTCTTTCCATAAGTGGAACAATTTCCGTGAAGACCTCCAGGCAAGAAGCGTCATCAGCATACCGCGTTGGGTGCGCTTCTCGCCCGAAAAACGTATACAGATACATGGTTTTTCAGACGCTTCTGAAAAGGCATTCTGTGCTTGCGTTTACATCAGAGTACAACACGCAGAAAACTCCTTCTCGACTCACCTTTTTGTTGCCAAAACCAGAGTTGCCCCGCTGCAAACGATAAGTTTGCCACGTTTAGAACTTTGTGGCGCTGTGTTGCTGTCGAAGTTAATCGCTTTTACCCGTTCCCAACTGAATCTGCCACCTCATGAATCAACGCTCTGGTCAGACTCCTCCATCGTGTTAGCTTGGCTGGAAAAACCAGCACATTCATGGAAAACGTATGTAGCCAACCGGATCACTCAAATTCTCCAGAATGTGAGCAATACCACTTGGCGCCACGTACCCAGCGGTGATAATCCAGCAGACTTAGGAACACGTGGATGTAAACCACAAGATTTAGCTGTATGTTCCTTATGGTGGAACGGGCCCGAGTGGCTCTCCAAACCATCTTCTTCATGGCCCAAAGGAGTCCCAGCCAATCCAACTCCACCTGAAATGAGACCAATAGAGTCCCTCCACTCCTTAGATTGTGCGGATATTCTTGAACGCTTTTCCTCATTTTCAAGAGCTTTAAGAGTCATTTCGTTTCTCTACCGGTTCGTACGTCGCTCGCGAAATTTCCCAATTCCAGCTTCGTTAGCTCTTACACAGAAGGAATTGAATCTCGCAAAATGAAAACTGATCGCAGTAACACAACGCAACTATTTTGCAGAAGAAATAAGTGCCTTAGAATCCTCCAAACCCATTAGCAAAAAAAGCTCTCTGTTAACCTTAAATCCTATGTTGGATAAAGCTGGTATTATGCGAGTGAATGGTCGTTTAGCTTATGCCGCCCTAAGCTATAATGAACGCCACCCCATAATCATCCCAGACGGACGAAATTCTGCTAACTGCTGCTAGATTTTCTCCACTAAACCTTTCTTCACGCTGAAAAGCAGTTAATGATTCGCATGGTGCAGCAGGAGTATTACATTCCCCGACTCAAATAAAATGTGAAAGGGTGCATCTTCCAATGCAAGACTTGCACTATTTACAAACAGCGAATGCGATCACAAATAATGGCGGCACTACCCCCAGAGCGTTCATCGTACTCGCTGCCCTTTCACACAACCGGCGTTGATTTCGCTGGACCATTTATGGTAAAAACCTCCCCCCTGCGACGAGCGTCTCACACAAAAGCATACGTTTGCGTATTCGTATGCTTTTCCACAAAAGCTGTCCATTTAGAATCATGCACAGATTTGACCACCGAAGCATTCAGAGCCGCATTCACTCGATTCGTCGGCCGCCGCGGGCTGCCAAACAAAATTATGTCCGATAACGGGAAGACGTTTATTGGAGCACAGCGGGCTATCCAGCGTGATTTTGCTTTATTTCTGAAAGAGGCAGCTTCGGATGTCGCTGCACGATATGCGGTACAGGGACTCTCTTGGCAGTTCATACCGCCATACGCCCCTCACATGGGCGGTCTGTGGGAAGCCGCCGTAAAAAGTTTTAAAACCCACTTCACTAAAGTCGCTGGAAACCAAAAATTCACCTTTGAGGAATTCACCACTCTCCTCATTCGAATCGAAGCAGTCCTCAACTCGCGCCCTCTCTCCCCCATGTCACAAGATCCAAGCGACTTATTAGCTTTAACGCCAGGCCATTTTCTCCGCGGGGCTCCCTTGGTTTCCCTACCTGAGCCGAATGCCGAAAATGTATCGCTCCATACCAAATGGCAAAAATTGAAAGTCCTCCATCAGCAATTCAGCTCACGTTGGAAAACCGAGTACCTACAAGAATTGCACAGGAGATATAAGTGGAAACACCCACAACTCAATATCCGCGAAGGAGATTTTGTGGTGATCAAAGATGATCTCTTGCCTCCCACTGACTGGCGCCTTGGCCGAGTCACCAAACTCCACTTTGGGGCGGACCAAAACGTACGAGTGGTAGATGTTCGAACACAAGCCGGCATAGTCACTCGAAACGTCACTAAAATATGCGTATTACCCTCATAATAGTATACCACGNTATGCGTATTACCCTCATAACAGTATACCACCCTCTAGTGCCCCCTCGGACACTTCCTCCACCGCTCAGAATTACTCATAAACATACATAAAATTTATATCTGTTCTCCCCACACAGCGCACACCCATGCCATCGGTTATATCACTAATCCCGTCTTTCGAAATTCTCTTTCCAGGTAGTAATCGTTCGGTATGGAATTCAGCAAGTGCCGTTTATGCTGCCGCTTCCACAGTTTGCGTTTTTGCCACGCCTTTAGAGCGATGACACCAGAGGAGAGATATGAGTCCGCAAAAATCCATCGCTACTGTATAAACTGTTTAGCCACATCCCACGCCACCGGCGTGTGTGATTCAGCCGATAGTTGTCACCGTTGCGGAAAAGCACACCACACCATGTTGCACCGCTCTGTATCGCCACCACCAGAACGCCGCCGTCGAGATGAGGCTCGCGGAAAAGCAGGCCGCCGCGAGATATCGTCGACCAGCAAGGCCGTACGAAAGCCGACCAGGAAAGCCGAAGGCCGGACCGCCGTCCAGCCACGCATCCACGATCTTTTCAGCCAGGCGGTCTTGACTCTAGAAAAGCTCAAAGAGCTGCTCCACATCACTCCGGCACAGGCGGGCCGGCATGTTGAGAACATGAGTGCGAACCTCATCGATTTGTGAAAGACGACATCCACTATTTAGTTGCAAACCTTAACATCCTTTTTTTCTTGAATTTTAATATTGCCATATGAATTGTAATGTTCTGGATATGTATTAATTGTCTTGCTAACATTGCCATATGAATTGTCATTTTCTGAATATCAATTGCTTTGCAACCTTGCATACATATGCTCGTATATCGTAGATTAGGGTGGCGTGTTACTTCAATTTGTCCTTTGTAAATTATACGCGACGATACGGGACCACCCGATCGCGCAAATCTTAAGTTGATTATTACGCTTCTGACCGCCATCGAGATCACCTCCACTGAATTCCTTGAAATCGAAAAACACCGTTGTAACTAATAATTAGCTGAATAAATTAAACATTTGTAGATTGTGAACATAAAAGGCACCCCTTTCTTTTATTCACGCATTTAAAGGCCTCCGTGGTACAATAGTGCACTCTGCACGTACATAATCAGCGAGCGTAAATAGTCGAACAATAAAATTTTATATCCGTCAGAAGTTGTTTATTGAAACTACCTTATTTTTTGTATCATGATTAAAACTATAAACAGCTCCATGATTTTGTTTTCAGAGATCGTGCCAACAGCGTATAGGGATTTTCTTTCATATGTAAACCCTGACTTTCGAGCTTGTGTTTACTATTCACGACGTTAGAACTGCTTGAAATTAATATAAATTGTTTAAAATTAGTGTCTAGCCGCAAAAGAAAACAAATGCAAAATCCTACATTTTAAAATTTTGTAACATTTCGCTACACCAACGGAAGCAAAATTCTGTTCGGCAGAAAATTCGATACTCAACGAAAATTTCGACACGCTTGCATAGCTCATAATAAAGCGATAGCCAGCGAAGATCGAAAATCGAATGCAACTCATAAAAGGGGCCTATGAGTTGCATTCGATTTTCGATCTTAGCTGGCTATCCCAGGGAGTTTCTGTTCTGAATCGGCCTGATGGACAGAAACGAATACCTCATAAAGGAAACCACGTTAATAAAATGAAAGAAATGTTTTATTGAACTGTTTTAAACATTTTTTTGTTTTTATTCGCCCAATGTTTTTGCGCGTTTAGTTTCTTATTTAATCTTTAATTCAAAAAAACATCCAGCACTTATTAAGAAAATTATATAATGTTTTGTTCTAAATTTATATGAAGACTTTAACAATTTCTTGATAGTTTTTGTATTTGCCCTTTAGTGAAAATTTTTTTAACGGAAGCTTGTAAAGTTTGCGTCACGATGCAGCGAACAAAGGTGGCGCCGTCCTACATACCGCTACTTTGGTTTTGCCGATTTTGACAATTCTGGTCTACAAGTAAACGCCGCCTCAGAAACTTTAAATGCACTGAAATTCTCTAAACTTGCACAAAAATTACCATTTTTTCACGTTTTCCTTATTAGTTCTTATTGCAAATTACATATTTCTACAATTTAGCACAATTAAAACACGTTTACTGTCGAAAAATTTAATATTAAGCAAGTTTGCTCTTCCTACATTTTCTTTTAACATCCACTTCGGCTTTGTTTACTTGTGGTACACAAATGTCATCGCCGCCAGGACGGCGCAATCTTGTTTTCTATCATTCTTGAATTTGCGTCTGCGCATCAACATATGATATCGTCAATTCTGAACGTTCGTGTGCTTCATGCATTTCATGCACAGGAACCTCCCACGGCATGGGAACTGCATCTTGGTATAAACAGGCTCTTAAAAATATTTGCCTGCAAGTAATAAAATCATTCGCGTTGAAATGATTTTCACAGACACGGGAAGAATCTTCCAATTGAACACCGCAGCGGTTCTCCCAACGAAGTCTTCTAACTTCACAACTAGGCGCCTTAAAGTATTACACCCTTTTTAACGTCCTGGCTCTTGCTCCTTTTCATTTTTGTATATGTATATAAATGGATGTGGTCAAAAAACCAACAAATTTTCACAATTCAAAACTATCTTACAGCACGCAATTGAATTTTTAATGAAAAATAGAAAATGCCTATTCGGAAAGGGTTAAAAGTTATTCATCATTGGACATTATAAGTTGCGTTCCAGATAACTTAGTGTAAAAACCTGTAAAACTGTCAAATAACAAAATTACTCTCTTGAAAGAGGAGCGAGAGCGAAACAATAAAAGTCACATGGAACGCGAAAGACCACTTTTCCTGTAACTACTTCCATTTTTTTTTTTAATGTAAAGCGCCATGGATGCGATCAAATATCTTTATCAACCGTCTCGCGTTATGCTTGAGAAAAAAAGTGCACTTGCCTTCTGATCGTCGTGGTGAGCAAGTGCGCGGACAAGAAAAATAAATTGTTTGTTGAATTGACCAGTTTATTTGAACGTTTACGGGCAAGACACGAGCTAACCTCATACATATGAAATGCTTGACGTATTTGTTTGATTGTCTTCGTGGCGCTTAAGGATCTGTTTTTGTTTACAAATGCAACCCTGCCTATCGTTTGACACTTTTCATGAGCTTGCAGGAAGAAAAACTTCGAACTAAGACCTGCAACTTCTGACTGAGAGAGAGGGCAAGTTAGGCTGACTTCCAAAACGTCAATTGCTTTGCATACGTACATACATAGTATAGGGTTCCATAACGTCGAACTACAAAATATTGACAATGTATACTGTTCCAAAACGCAGCCGAAAAGTTATCGAAACGCATAGCTAGAGCAATCAGCGCATCAGAAACAAAGTTGATGCTTTGTTTGTTATTGGTTAGCATTGGTGTATTAGAAATTGAAAATTCAGAAAAATTGTTCATTGCTATATTGAATATTTAAAATATGCAATGTATATGGTTGCAATGTGTCATAACTCTGCATAACCAATCAGTTTGAGTACCGCAGTATAACAGTTTCCAAACATTATATTGATACGTTTTGGAAGTCAGCCTTACTCACAAAAGTGGTTTGACTTACAGGTTTTTTTTGGTACCTGGAATGCTTTCCTGCAAAAAAACCTGCAAATCGTGAATATCGTGAGCACCTGGAACGCAACTATAGTCGGTGTTCAAAAGAGAGACGTGTCAAAATACCTTCTACCTTATTTAATATGCCTTGGTATAAACCATGATAAAAATATTAAAAGGTAAAACCGCTCGCTCAATTCGTCCGCCCTTGGGTTTTTCTGACGTTTACTAGCATTTTGAGTAGACTTTCGAAATGATTTAAATGTCAAATAACTTCAGAACAAACTAAAATTAATGTTTTGAAATGTATTTATTCAAACGTGGGAAAAACTTTAGAATCTAGAGAAGAAAAATGAGTTGCTGTTTTAGCGGCTGTGCAAATACCGTTTTCCTTTGCAATCAAAGTAATATAAGTTAACACCTGCTAACGCGCTCATGGGAAACATTCCGTTCTCATGTAAAATGCTGACGCTATGTCTGCAAATATGCGCGTGACAAAAATGAAAACAACGGCAGTAACGGAGTAGCGACTGCAGTCGCTGCAACCACAACAACAACGAAAGCACTAGCAATAGCGAATTGGCGATCCACCTAAAACTACAGTCGCTGGAACAACAACAACACCAAAGATATCAACTACTACAGTCTCTGCTACAGTTGGGATTAAGTAGGGTAGAGTAAGCTTTGTCTTAATTCTAATATTCAGTCTTTTGCCAGGCTCTTAGCTCGTTACTACCGCATATGCGGAGCAAATAAAGTTACGATCAAAATAGATATCAAACCTACATAGTAGGTAGTGTTATTATTTATTCGGAACCCGAAAAGTATAACTGGCGCCCATCGGTGGGCCACGCGCGGTTTTAAAATATCCTTGTTAAAGGACAAATCGTGACGTGGTTGTGGGTTCGGACCCACCAACAATTCCAAACTTTATTGAAGACGAGAGGATCGGACATCTGGAGCAGCCAAACTTTCTCGGCCAAGGGACCAGCAGCAGCTAACTGACAATTAACTGGGAACACCGTAGATTAAATAAGAAAATGCTTGTAAGTAGAGTGCCCGACCTCCAAACAAATTAAGCAAGTGAATTTTAATAGGAAAGTGATTGTAATTGCAAATTAAAGAATTTAGAATTTTATTAAAAACTTTATCGTCTGTGAAGCCAACTAGCTAAGCACTTAGGCTCGCTGTATTTGTTAATTAAATTGAGAAATATAAGTAATAAATTGTAAACTTAAATATGGATGAAATGCAACTTCGTGCAGTGGTCAGTGCCGCCGTAAGAGTGGCTACTGAACAGACTAAAAAAGATTTTCAGACTGTGATTGACGAAATGACGGAGAGACTTTCAAGGATAGAGACACCGACGAAAGTGGAAGAGTACCAAGAAATTGCATTTGATTCCAATATTGAATGCAACGTTTCATTAGATGTAGTCAAGTCATTGCCAGAATTTTCTGGTGACCAGACTAGATACGTATCGTGGCGTCAGGCGGCTCATGCCGCTTACAAAATTTTCGAATGCTATCCTGGGAGTTGCAAACACTACCAGGCCGTGGCAATTATTCGTAACAAAGTTACCGGGCGTGCTGATTCTGTGCTCTCTTCGTTTAACACTGTTCTGAATTTTAAGGCTATTATAGCCCGACTTGACTTTTCTTACGCGGATAAAAAACCTATTCACGTTATTGAGCAGGAAATGTCCACGCTCCGTCAGGGAAGCCTGACAATCAATGACTTCTATGACGAAGTCGAAAAGAAATTGACCGCCATAACCAACAAAACTCTTATGACTTATGGAAGCCAGCGACAGGTGATAGATTCATTGATGGTTAAATATCGTCAAGACGCTCTCAGGGTTTTCATATCCGGTCTTAACAGACCATTATGTGATATCTTGTTTTCATCTAGACCGAAAGACATGCCAACAGCGCTAGCTCTAGCACAGGAATTGGAGTCAAATCAGGCTCGATCCATATTCGCCTCAAAATTTTCTGATAGTAAAAATTCAGATAATCGTGTGAACAGACCAACAAATATCAGGTCCTATCCTACTCCCAATAGCCCTCATTTTAGCAGATTAACAAGTGATCAGGCTCAACAAAAAGTTACTCCTATGGAGATTGATCCCAGCCTTTCTAAGCTCAGGCATCCTACCCAACAAGCATTGCCCTTCTCTCGTAATCGCCCGACCTACCCTTCAGGCAGGACTCCATTTGGGAATCCGCTCCCAACCAGTGCCACTGCCACGAATGCAAAGAGACCACACGGTAGCGACCAATTTAATTACAATAAGTTACAACGAATCAATACCCTAAACCAGTGCGCGAATGATGACGTTGAAGGAGCCTACACAGATTCTGATGCTTATGACGAAAAGGTGTCAGACGAGGGAGCTTACAATCGTGATGACGTGGTACCGGAGGTACCAAGCGATGAAATAAATTTTTTAGAGTAACGTCCCTGCTACCATACGTTAGCAGGAAGTTCAAAGGAAAACCAGTAAAATTTTTAATCGACACTGGTGCCTCTAAAAACTATGTAAGAGATTGTGATTGGC